CGATCACTTGCCAAATATTTGTCAATCGTAAACCAATGTCTTATCGTATGGATGCCGCATATCGATACTTTTGGAAGCATTTACTTGCCAAATATTCAACAAAAGTATACAAACGGCATGCCAACAAAATATACACAACACCTGCTGCAATGACCTTATAAGTAGAGATTTCCACAAACTCAACATATAAAGAAACTAGGAACTGTACACAAGCTGTACAATTGGTAGGTATACAGGGATGGCCAGAAGTACGGAATAAAATTCATACCTTTTGAATGAGTAAATTTTTTTTAAAACGCCGAAACACGTTAACTGATTATGATTTTTTCCCATCTTTCGGTTTAATAATAATTAATTTTTCTTTAACCCCCTAACCCCCAGCTAGGTTTTTTTTTTCAAATGGAAACATAAGGCATGAGGGGGCTCGTTGAAAAGTTTATAAAAAAACCGAATCCAGCCATACCAAATAAACAAGTTTTGCTTTTTTCAATAGCAAGGTTTTTAGGGTTGTATAAAACACTTAATTAACAAGTGAAATAAAATTTGTCAGTGTTATCCTCCATGAATTTGCACAGAATAAAATAAAGAATTTGAAACTGCACCTATCACTGCTAACGCAAAAAAGAAATATTTTTTATGTTGCGTTTTTTTTGGCACTACTTACTTGCCAGGCTTTCTTGTTAATTTTTCACTTTAAGGCGGAAATACATATACAAGTAAAATAGGTAAGTAACTTGCATGCTAAGAAATGGCATATGCCGGCGGATAGCACACTGCTGATACATTTGCAAGTAAAATGGAATGCCTCGTTAGTATATGGCTTATTGGCATGTCAGTAGGTAGTAAGTAGACACGTTCCGACATGCCGGTTGAACTCCCCCCTTCACATTGTAAGCCAAAAAATCAAATGATGTGCAATTTACTTGCGCGCCTTCTACAGACATGCCTTTTAATAAATACACATACCAGGAGCTATCTCCTACAAGCTACTTGCATGCTATTGTGCAAGCAAGAGGCATGTGTATTTCCGCCTTTAGTTGTAAATTGGAGTTCGAAACGTTACTATTGTGTCAAAATCAAGTTATTTACTGAATTGCAATGGTATTGTCGGAAAGGCAATGCATCGAGATCTTGATATTGCTTGGATGTGGAAACAAAATAAGAAGTCAGGCTGAAGTGCGCGATTTATTTAATGCGAAATATCCCGAAANATTACTCTCTTTCATTTCCAAACAGACTATAGTTAAGGTTCATAATGTTAAAGATATGGGCGTTACGATAGATAGTACAATGTTATACAAACTTCACTTTGACAAATTTATATCTGATGCTTATAAAGCCCTCGGTTTTGTTATGAGGGAATCGCGTAATTTGAAGAATATACGAACCCTTATTACTTTGTATTACACATTTGTATTGGGTCATTGTTATGGCACGCGCAGTCAAAAAAATATACAGAGCGGATTGAAAAAATACAAAATAAATTTTTGAGATATCTTTATTTTAAGAAGTATAATAGACCGCCTGACTATATGACTATAAGAACTAATCAACTTTGCCGAGAATTTAATATAAATACACTTCACCACCGTCGTATCGTTTCTATTCTGCTATTTGGTTACAAAATTTTAAACTGTCTCATTAATGCACCAAATCTGCTCTCCCGTATACATTTCTGCATATCCCGTTACGCAAGAAATCATGTCCTCTTCTTGCAGTTATGTTTAAATTAATTAATCAAGTTTCATCATGCAACTCCATTGACTTGTTTTCACCCCAAAGAATATTCTTAAAAGAAACTAAACAATTTTTTTCTATAAACAATTTATCATAAACATTATTTTTACATGTCTTATTGTTGTAAAATCGTTATGTGGATGTTGTTGCCCTTCTCATATAGTGCTTCTATGTATTTAGGATATTACCCTTTGTTAGTGTGTTTGCTTTAGGTAGTCACATATTGTAGTAATTTTTTCCCTGTAATTAGATATTCATGAAAATAAATAAATAAATAAATGAAAATTTTGCACATTATTGAGTGCGATGTGAGTTACATTTCACGTAATTTTTTTACAATGTAATCTAATATTACTTAGCGTATTTAAATACTTTTAAAAGAATCCAAAAAAAGAGTCCAGTTTCTAAAGCACTTTTTGCCCAATATCCTTTCTAGTATGTAGCCGGCAAGAGCGAGTATTAGAGTGCAATAATAGTCCACTTTAGGGAATTCGTTTCTGAGTCAGCAGGACCTTGATACGCATGTAATTGACCGTCAGAAGCTTCGACAAACAAAGACCCCTCTTTACTCACCTTGAATTAATCGCACAGGGGAGGCAAAATTGCAGTTAATGGGACGTCCCAAAATCTCTAATACATTGTAAACCCGGAAACACTATACTTATTGGATATGGTGATGGCTCGAAAATTTAAAAATAGAAAATTGAAGTTCAATCCAAGTTAAAATAATTTGTTTTGTTCTCACCTACTGCTTACTGTAATTCAATCAATAACTATCAAAATTTAAGGAATGGTTTGAAACTAATTTTTCACAGTCATGGAAATAAATGGGGATTTTTTTTAGTTTTCATTTTATCGAATTACTTTTTTCCAAAAATTTTTGTGTTATTCCATTGAACAACATGATAATGTTGCTTCCCATGCCCGTAAATTCTTGATTTTTCAAATTCATCCCTCTAGTCCGAATAGTCTTCAACTCTATTACATATTTAAGAATCTCCAAGTTTCACAAGTAACAATAGCTATACAGGGTAGCCCAATTAAAACCTGAAATATTTTCATTGCAACAGGTTATTCCGGAAAACCCAGGCCGATTTTGCTTTCAAGTGGGACATCTTTTGATCATAAATTCATGGATGCAGGGTCATCCCCCTAAACGAGGTGGCAAACCCCTCAAAAATCTTAAATGGCATGGGGGTTAAGTGGCACATCATTTTAAAGATATTTCAATTCTCTTTACAAACATCCGATTTTTTTTTTGTTCTGCCTCAAAATTAATGTAAAAAGTACTGTTGGAAGTATCGATGAAAAAAATCGAAAAAAAGACTTGAAATAGTAATTAAAAAACTCACCGGATAATAAAACTGTGAAAAATTGAGGTATATCATCGAAATTTTGATGACATAGGTTTTATTAGAATTTTACATGTAGTTTTGTTCCAATTTTACATCAATCAGAATTGTCTAGGTAGTGAAATTCATTGATTTGTTATTATTCTCTATTTTAAAGCAAACGATTTAAATATCATGGTTTACACCACTGCAGAGATCCCAGAGAATGATGTATTTTTTCAACTGGATGGCGCTCCGCTACACTATGCACAACAACATTTTCCCGAACACTGGATTGTTATATAAGGGGTTTCATTGAATGGCCTCCAAGATCGCCTGATTTAACACCATTGAACTTTTTCTTATGGAGTCATTTAAAAAGTGTTATTTATAAAACAAAACCTACCTCTTTAGAAGATCTTCGCCAGTGAATAGTGGTAGCAAGTGATAAAATAACCCCTGAAATACTACAAAATGTTCGGGAAAATGTCGAACAAAAGTTTTATTATTGTATGGAAGTAAATGGGTCGCAATTTGAACACTTAATTAAATAAAATTTGTTTGAAAACTTTTTTTTATTTATTTCACTGACACTTGCAACAGGTTTTTTCCATTAATTTTAAGGCAGAACAAAAAAATTTCAGCATGTCTGTAAAGGGAATTAAAATACCTTTAAAATGATGTGCCACTTAACCCCCCGTGCCATTTAAGATTCTTGAAGGGGTTGCCACCCCGTTTATGGGAATGACCCTGCATCCATGAATTATTTATGATCAAAAGATGTCCCCCTTGAAAGCAAAATCGACCTGTTTCGGGGTTTTCCGGAAATATCTGTTGCATTGAAAATATTTCAGACCTACAGATCATGCGATCACTTGCCAAATATTTGTCAAACGTAAAACAATGTCTTATCGTGTGGAAGCTGCATATCGATACTTTTGGAAGCATTTACTAGCCAAATATTCAACAAAAGTATACAAACGGCACCTGTACACAAGATGTACAATTGGTAGGTATATGTTGGCGCTATAGATTTTGGCCAAATAATCTGCTAATTTATTAAATGTCATAAATAAACAATTATAGACACTAAATAATACAGAAAGAACAGAAATAACTTAATACGATAATTATAACATTAGATCAACGTATAAAAATCGACTCGACAACTGGTTTAATGAACATATCGTCATGTTTATTTATGCTCCTACTAGTCGGTGTTTATAAAGTTTCGTGAAACCTGAATCTCAATGATAAATTTTATTTACATAAACGAAATACAATTTACAAAAAATACGTTATTAATCACGCAACAAAGTTATCTTAATTGAATCTATTAAGTCAACTTGAAACGCACCTATACTTAATGAAAGACGTCACAATTTAATAATCAACAGCTATAATAAATACCACCTGATGTGGTAGGTGATAAAATATTTCGGTATAAAACTTTTTAAACGAAAATTTGTCAACAGAAAAACGGAAGAATTACAAAAAGAGAAAATGACTACAAATTATACCTGTTCAGCTTTCAGCCACTTTTTTATGTGCACTTTATGAAATTTTTATTAACTCAGCTAGTTGTAAATTAGGAGAAATTTTGTAAAAATATATTCTATACATCATATTTATATTTTTTTATATTTTATATGGCAAAATTGACAAACAAACAGAAAAACTATTAAAGCATTAAAGTTTTCAAAAAGTATCTAAAATTATTTTTATCTAAAAGAGCTAAATCTCAAATAAGAAATCACAAAATACAAATTTTCTCTGATTTACAAATATTGATGCCATAATCTGTGAATACCCTGTATACATATATGTAAATTCTTCTTACGAATATAAAGTAGATAAATATAATTATGTTAATAAGAATATATTAAAATATCACAAAATTCACGAGAATATCACAGTATACCTTCGTTAAATATGAATTTAAACGAAGTAAATAACAACGCAACATCTTCGCGGCAGTTGGTTTTAACTCACCAAGTTGAAATGTCTACTGAAGAGGATAAATTTGTGACTTTCGGCCCTGAACCCGCTGAACCCTTGTCGGATAACACCGTAGGAAAAGAAATTTTTGAAAAATTGCTGGCAAATTCTACAAATGACAATGCGCTGGTAAGTTTACCATTATTATATCGATGTTATCATCGTAACTGAATTAAATACCTAATACCGTTCAAATTACGCAAGTTTAATAGCAAATAATATTCTTGGATTATTTCAAAAGATTTAATTAATTCTCCAATTTCAAATGATATGACTATAAAAAGCAGTCCGGTTATACTGCTATAAAAAGCATTGCGGTTAAAAATTTGTATAGGTATTTAAATTTTAAAGAAATTAAAATCACTACGAAAAGTACGTGCTTGAGATCATGTCCTTAAATGTGGGGAACGAGACATCAGTTTATTATAATCACATGGTAAATTTATTTTTAGGAAAAAAAATTGAATTTGCTTTAAGGAGGTTTATCTGATTTGGAATTGACGAACAAATATTCGTAAAAAAATTAATATAAGCTTATGAAAAAAATCCTCAAAAAAAATTATGACTAGTTTGGATACATAAGGGACNTCACATGGTAAATTTATTTTTAGGAAAAAAAATTGAATTTGCTTTAAGGAGGTTTATCTGATTTGGAATTGACGAACAAATATTCGTAAAAAAATTAATATAAGCTTATGAAAAAAATCCTCAAAAAAAATTATAACTAGTTTGAATACCTAAGAGACGAGATATTAATAAAATAATTTTTCACGATTTAGTACAGAGTCTTATGAGAATGCAGATTTTTTTGGTCTTTCCACTTAGAATGCGCAACAATTGACGAACAGTTTCCACAGCAACTTGTATAAATAGGAAACCGATATCTAAGGAACCGTATGACAACTCGTAGAAATCGATTACGTACTTGTAAGATACATAATTTATAATAATTCTCCTTCAAACTACTGTTGTTGATTAACTTAACGTCCATATGCGTGATAGCAGCAACACCGCGGTTCTCGACGTAGCGTATTATTTGAAATTTGCAGGTGTGACATATGGTGTATATTTCAAGCTTATTCATCCAAACAAAGCCAGCCAAGTGCAACGTTGCCAAATCTAAAGGCTTACTACTTTAGTCACTAGCGAGTGTACACAAACTCTCGTTAGACTTTTAGACGTACCTCCGTATCCGATAAACCTCCTTAATTAACTTAATATCTTTAAAGTAAAGTAAAATCACGAAAGCTAATAGTAAAATATATTTTTTTAAAAAAGAAATTTAGTAAAAAGGATAAATGTTGGTCAGGTAAAAGAATAATTCTCATAATCAAATTTTCAACACTTTNTGCTTTAAGGAGGTTTATCTGATTTGGAATTGACGAACAAATATTCGTAAAAAAATTAATATAAGCTTATGAAAAAAATCCTCAAAAAAAATTATGACTAGTTTGGATACATAAGGGACGAGATATTAATAAAATAATTTTTCACGATTTAGTACAGTCTTATGAGAATGCAGATTTTTTTGGTCTTTCCACTTAGAATGCGCAACAATTGACGAACAGTTTTTACAGCAACTTGTATAAATAGGAAACCAATATCTAAGGAACCGTATGACAGCTCGTAGAAATCGATTAGGTACTTGTAAGATACATAATTTATAATAATTCTCCTTCAAACTACTGTTGTTGATTAACTTAACGTCCATATGCGTGATAGCGGCAACGCCGCGGTTCTCGACGTAGCGTATTATTTGAAATTTGCAGGTGTGACATATGGTGTATATTTCAAGCTTAGGCATCCAAACAAAGCCAGCCAAGTGCAACGTTGCCAAATCTAAAGGCTTACTACTTTAGTCACTAGCGAATGCACAGAAACGCTCGTTAGACTTTTAGACGTACACCTCCGTACCCGATAAACCTCCTTAATTAACTTAATATCTTTAAAGTAAAGTAAAATCACGAAAGCTAATAGTAAAATATATTTTTTTAAAAAAGAAATTTAGTAAAAAGGATAAATGTTGGTCAGGTAAAAGAATAATTCTCATAATCAAATTTTCAACACTTTTTGGCACTGTCGTTTCAATTCTTTTTTGTTTTATACGTATATAATTCTGTCCTATGTATATAGAAATAGTAATAGCTTTCTATTTCTACGCGTTGGCCTTTGTAGTAGGTGATCTTGGAACAACAAGAATACAAGATATTTCTATGAAAGATTACATCAATTAACAATTTTAATACGTTATGTGTTTTTGTATTAATAATATTTAAATATACAATTTTTTATTTTTGTTTTAGATACTTAATTATTAAATACTAACTGTTTATTAAATATTGCTGGTGCAGATTTTTGATTTCGAAGAACATTGTTTGACTTTTAATAGGATTTTTAGAAAAACTTTAGAATTTAATTAAATTAGCTTGGTCTAATTATTTTTAATATAATTATTTGCTGAATTAGGCTGAAATTTTAGATAAAGATGAACAACATATCTTTATATAAGATGAAAAATGAAAATTTTCTTAACAAAACTGGTCAGTTAGGTCTGCAATGTTTTAAAATAAATTTAAAAATTTTATAGTAATTCTGAAGCGGTTTAAAATAAAAACTTGACATTGGAAGGTATAGTGTAATAGGGGTATAATCTACTGTTTTTTTTTTTAAATAAAATAATCAGCGGAGTAGTTATGGGGACAGCGATATTTCGAAATAACTGCTTTTATTTACATATTAATTCTCCCGTAAATATTTATTAGGAAATCTAATTGCAATTTTCGATATATCAGCACTTAAAAAAGGCCCAGGTTAAAAAACAAAACTTCCTTAGCCAATATGCAATTTGCGTTTGGACCAAGCTGAAGGAAATGTTTTTTAACTTGGATTTAGAACAGAACCTCTATAAAAATTGCTTACCTGCCAGATATTTGAAACAATTTGTCATTCAATATTCAAAGCCTGTTAATGAATTTTGTATATTAACATCTTGACTTTTCCTGTAGAAATATCAAAAATTGTAATCATCTCGAATAACAATTTCTAAAAATTTACAAAATGTGTCATTTGTGGAAAAAATATTATTATTTTAAAAAATCCTAGAATGTGATTAAAAAACCGATATCTGCACCACTGATATTTAATTTTTTCGATAATGCCACTAATTGTAAATTATATCTCGGATCACCTATACTATACTACACTTATGTTTGAAGATAATGAGTCAAATTTTTATTAAAAAGCACGTTTTACTTTTTTTAAGCATTGTGTTTAATTCGTACACCTCAATAAAAATGATCTCCGACATTGATGTAGTTTAAGTAAAATATACTACGGTCACTTTACATATTCCAACAAAGTAAATAATTGTAAGCACCTACGGCATCTCGCAAACAAGATGCACCTTGTCAAGTTGTAAGTTCGTGACGTTTTGCGTCAATTATGTATTCAAATAGAATTTGTATGATACGTCTTTGTGTAGTATGTGTTATACAGAGTAGGCCACCAGTAACGCCTCGGTCGCTAGGGACCAAACGGCAAACGTTACAGAAACCTGTTTAGGTGGGTATGTGTAGGTTGATTACGGCTACATTTTAAAAATATTTTCAAATATACAGAGTGTCCAGGAAAAGCGTACCATATCAAAGTTATGTTTTTTTAAATGGAACACCCTGTATTTCACTGCATTTTTGAAAGCACCATAAAAAAATAGATGAACTTTATTAAAGGTCCTGCATTCCTAGAACTTACAGTTTGTGAGATATTTCAATTTTAGTGAAAATGCAGGCTTAGCCTAGAAATTTAATATTTGCAATAAAAAAATAATTTTAGGGAAGCAGCTTTGGAGAGTGTATCCTTGAAGTTATAAATTATTATATTTGTCGTCACTTAATATTATACAGGGTGTTCAAAAAACCTGCACATTTTTCATATTCAGTGAGAAATTATATAAATCGAAAATTTAGTAATAAATGAATAGGTAGGAATGGTCCATGTCAGTGGCTACCTAGGTGTCCAAACATCCCGTAATGGACTGCTTTGTTTCGGGCTATATAAAAAATCTTGTACACAGTGTTCCACCTACGATGATATAAAGGGAAGGAATATAGATGCAACCTACACATATCCACCTAAACAGGTTTCTATAACATTCGCCGTTTGGTTCCTAGCGAGCGAGGCGTTACTGGTGGCCCACCCTGTATATTTCAGTGTTTACGGTATGTTTGTGTCTTCACTGAGATTTCCGGTAAAACTATACACTATACCAATTTTCAACAAGTATACGGCGTAAAAGTTGGGGTTAAATAATCCAGCTTTACTACCCATTCCTACGCCACTGATCTACAAAAATTTGTAAATTTTGCACTAAATTATGTACATGTGTAAATATTAATAGCACTCCAAAATTGAATCAATTTGTTATAAGCATACCAAAGGTTTCATAAATAATATGATTTTAAAAACCGACCAATACAGCCCTGCACACTGAAAACGGTGATACTTGCTTTATAAGGCAATTCTGAATTATTTATCGAGTTCAATTTGTGGTTAAAGTTTGATTCAACCGAACTAAAACACCCTGTATAACGAAGTCATTTTTTTACTTGTTTTACCTGCTTCCGAAATTATCAAAACGAAATATGTTACATATGTATTATTTGTACTTTTCAATTATAAACACTTGTTAGAATCTTCTTTTTATGTTTCCGCTTTAATAAAAATATTAAGTTTCTCTTATTTAGATTGACGTCTTCACTGGCAGAACCCTCTCTTACAAATCGTTGTTGCAAAAGTCGTGTGAACTGGCAGAAGCTTTACGTAGTAATGGTTACACAAACAACACAATTCTCTCAGTTTGCAGTGAAAACAATTTGGAATTCTTTATCCCTGTCCTGGCATCTCTTTTCGTTGGCTGTATTATGGTTCCTATCAGTTTCAACTACGAGTCATATGAGATGAACAACATCTTGAATATCAGCAAACCCAAAGTAATTTTCTGTTCCAATAGTGTATTATCAAAAGTTTTGCACTTAAAAACACGTCTGTCTTATTTAGAAAATGTTATTGTTATTGATTGCAACGAGCCAGTTCTTGAAGCGGAAAATCTGGATGAGTTTATGAGAAGGTCATTGAAAGAAAAATTGGTGTTACCTTCTAATTTTCAGCCGTTACAAGGCGACTCAGAAAAACTAGGTGCCTTTATTTTGTGTTCTTCAGGTACTACTGGTATGCCCAAAGGCGTATTACTCTCACATAAAAACATAATGGTTACATTACTACACTCAAGGTAAGATTGAATATTATACTAAAAAGTTACAACAATTTATTTCAAATCAAGACATAGTAAACAAGATCATACATCAACAAATTTGTAATCAATTATTTAACTAAACGTTTTACCATTAGTAAATACACTTTTAACACTAAAAAGTATTATTACAGTTTAATTAGTTTACTACCTTTAATTGTTTTTATATTAATTAGAATTAATCAGAAACAGATGTTAAATAAGCTTTATAAATCGCGCCTAACTGATGTCTAAAATAAATATCATTAGTAAATTAATATACAAAACTGTGGTATTGTTCATTTATATCATAACAAATTTACTAAAATAAATTCAAAATCGCTACACAGTATATATTATAATATTATAAATTAATGAATATTTATTTTTCTAATTTATTTTAATTCTATTTTATTTCAATTAAAAAATTTTTAATGATGATTTGTTTCCTTTATTTTAATTAGTGTTACTGTTCTTATTTAGTGTTGGTAATCATTGTTGAGCGCCTTCATGGTATTATGAAAAATATTTTCTTTTAAAGTGAAATGATTGTTTTTTGAATACAAAAATTTGAATGACTTGTATTTTTAAAATATGTAAATATTCCCAAAATTCAACTTACCGTGCTAGCTAATTCTTGGATGCCAGATAATTTCAGTCACTTAGTTTGATTTTATTTTTAATATAGATTTCTAACTATTTTTTTATGTCCACTATTTTTAAATATTATTCTGAACTTTGAATTGGATTCTATTTTACAAACTTATTAATTTCAATGACAGCCAAGTTTTTTACTTTTGATTTTGTTTTATAGAAATTGTTTATAGTCTTACTTCAGAAATTTAAATTTAGCATGATGAAAATTTCTTTAATATCAGATGTCGGTTCTATAATGATTATCTGATATCTATGTGAGTTTTAGATATTGCTATTTTTCAGAAAACAAATAGGAATCTGTTTTTTTTTCAAATTTTATATTTTTTCTAAGTTTATAAATTCTGTCTACCCTATCTCTGTCCTACGCCAAGCTTATCTCTAACAAGCAATACTTATTCTAGATATACCTACAATTTATTTTACCTAATTACAACTTCTATTGTCTATGTCTACCTGGTCAACTCTCGTTCTGTAATCCTTTTCTGTTCCTCTTGTCTTAACAGCTAACTATCTGTCCAATGTCCAATGTCTGCTACCAACACCTCGCTACTCCTTGATTCACTATGGTATTGGTCTTACTATTCTGCGTCTTGATTCTCCTTCCTTTTTTTCTGTTTTCTACGACAGTCAAAATAATATTACTAACCTTTACTATATGGATTTCTTCTTTATTTGAAGTTTATTTTACTTCCACTTTCTTGGTCCTTTTATAAACATTCTGGTTTCTTTTACTGGTTTCTCTTACTGCAAGACTTTGACATCTAATATGAACTAACTTCGTATCCTCAAAATTTCTCTTCTAATCTAAGTTTAATTTAAGTTTCTTTTCTTTTTCTGAATTTTTCAATATCGCGATTCAAATTCAATTATCCTTTTCTTTTTCTATATATTTTCTTTGGTTCTACTTCAATAATTACTTATGTGTTCTTCTTTATTTCATACAGATCTTTTAAACCTCATACAATTTTTTTTTCTAATTATTATTCTTCCTCTCGTCTCTTAGTTACCCAACACTCTTTTTCTTTTAACCACTGCACTCTTATTTCTATTTACAAAAAAATTTCTGACTATAGTTTCCAAGTTGCACCAGTCAGATTACAAAATAACCATTTTGTTTTCTCTTACTCTATTTTACTATTTTATCTCTATACTTTATTAATTTAAATGGATATTCTATCTAAATTCATATTTTCTTATAAACTGTCACTTTATTCTTAACTGTCACTCAAATTAAAATTATTATCCTGTCACCATTTATCCTAGTATGTTTTTACTTAATGTATTTCTCATTTACTTTCAATTTCTACTTAACAATAAAACTTTTAATCAAATCCAACCTGTTACAATATACAGGGTAGCCCATCGAAAACGTACCGCAAGGCATTACAGGGTAGTAATAAACTTTTCGGCAAAATCCAAAAACAGGTAAAGTTTGCTTCTGAGGGGGACATCTTTTGGTGCAAAAAGTATAGCAAAATCTTCAACCCCCTAAGTGGGGGTGCCATCCCCCAAATTTTTTTAAATGGGAATGGGGGTCAAGTGGGGGGTCATTAGAAAGGGCTTTTAATTCTCTATACATCGATTCTTACTTTTTGAAAATCGATCCATTATTTTAGAAAATATGCAGCTTTGAAAATACGAACAATATTTTTGACGAGAAATGCGAAAATCGATTTAATTTTACTTCAAAACTTACGGTATTAGCTTGGTAAATTCCTTCAAAAGAATTCGCTGTTTTTTTTTTCTGATTTGCGAATTCTTTAGCCTGATTTTGGTGAGCAAAAAATTGTCCGCTTTTTGTTTCGTATTTAGATAGGCCACAAGAAGTTGCTAGATAACTGTCTTGTGACTTGTAGTTGAAGAGTACCAATACTGCCGAGTCTTTTAAATTGATTAATTATGGTGTACTCAATTCCAGAAAGAGTAGAAATTATTGAGCTTTTTTTCAAAAACAATGAATGCGGAAATCGGGTCGCCGAACTGTTCAACCAACGGCATCCTGAGAAACATGCGTCTGGAAAAATTGTTCGCGAATTGGTGGCCAAATTTCGCGAAACTGGCTCCGTTCATAACAAAAAGAGGCAGGTTGAAAATCCGGTACTAAATGAACCTACGGAAATAGCGGTATTGGGGCAAGTGGCAATGGATAGTACGCTGAGTACAATGCAATTGGCTACTGCGACAGGAGTGAGTCGTACAAGTGTCCAACGAATATTAAAAAAATACAAATTCCATCCTTATAAGATTCGGCTAGTGCAAGAGCTAAATGAAGACGATTTTGATCGTCGTTTGCAATTTTGCGAAATAATGACTGAACGAGCGATAAACGATAATTTCCTCTTTAATGTGTGTTTTTCGGACGAGTGTACGTTCTTCTTGAATGGTTTAGTGAATCGCCATAATTGTCGTTACTGGGCTGATACCAATCCAAGGATTTTCCATGAGACACACTCCCAACACCCCCAGAAGTTGAATGTATGGGCAGGTATTTTTGGAAATTCCATTGTAGGTCCTTTTTTCCTTCCTGGAAATTTGACAGGCGATATGTACTTGGATTTACTACAAAATGTCATCGACCCAGCTCTAACAAATATCATAGAGGACGACCCTGCTTACAATGAACACGAACTGATTTTCCAGCAAGACGGAGCTCCTCCACATTACTCGCTCAATGTGCGCAATTACCTAAATGAGACGTTTCCAGGACGCTGGATAGGACGAAGAGGTGCAATTGAGTGGCCCCCTCGGTCACCCGACTTAAATCCTTTAGATTTCTTTCTCTGGGGGCACATTAAAAGCAAAGTTTACAGCACTCCACCTGATACCTTGGAAGATCTGCGAGGACGAATCATTAATGTATGTCGCGAAGTAACACCGCAAGTGCTCCAGAATGTTCGACAACGGTTTGAAGACAACCTGTATCATTGTATGCAAGTTGGCGGACAACATTTTCAGCATTTACTTGACTAATACCGTAAGTTTTGAAGTAAAATTAAATCGATTTTCGCATTTCTCGTCAAAAATATTGTTCGTATTTTCAAAGCTGCATATTTTCTAAAATAATGAATCGATTTTCAAAAAGTAAGAATCGATGTATAGAGAATTAAAAGCCCTTTCTAATGACCCCCCACTTGACCCCCATTCCCATTTGAAAAAATTTAGGGGATAGCACCCCCACTTAGGGGGTTGAAGATTTTGGTATGCTTTTTGAGCCAAAAGCAAATTTGACCTGTTTTCGGATTTTGCCGAAAAGTTCTTTACTACCCTGTAATGCCTTGCGGTACGTTTTCGATGGGCTACCCTGTATATACCTACTGTAATGTCAAGGTTAGAAATGAAATCATTAAAACATTTCTTGAAGGTTACAAACTACGTGGCACTTTAAGAAGGCTCTATAGCAAATAGCCTACCTACAATACATTTTTATAGATAATATTACATAGTTTGTCTAAATATGAATTAATGCACAGATAACAGACTTTCTACCATTCTGACGCAGATTTTCTATAAAATGGACCTAGTTTGAAGCTCAAATTACTTTTTGATGTAAAGAAATTTGTAATTTACGATGCCGCTTGTTCAAAAGCCTCTTAAGTTCCAGTATCTCACAGATCAACAGTATGCGTTTATTAATTACTTCAGTTAAATTAATGTTAATAAATAAACAACTGCAAAATTATTATAGGTATAAGTTTTTTGTAGGATTAAATAAGATTATATTTGTCGCAATTATATTTCAGTTTTAAAATAATACATATAAATGTATACAACTTCAATTTTGACTCTAGAGATCCGAGATACTCCTTCAATAATGCAACCGCACTGGGACTGATGCCCTTTTTCCACGGTTATGGGTTAAATATTGGCCTTACCGCTATTGCCAATGGGCAAAAGCTGGTTATACTCAAAAGATTTGAAGAAGACACGTTTTTGAAATCTATACAAGATTATGGAATTCCACTTTTAATCATTGTGCCACCACTAGCTGTATTTCTAGAGAAAAGTTCGAAAGTTTCCAAATATGATCTATCTTGTGTGGAGGAGATAATATGTGGAGCTGCTCCATTGAGTAAGAATACAGAGCTAGCTTTAAGGACAAGGTAAAATTAGAGTGTGCTCTGTTAAAAGAAACGAGGCAAAATAATAACTACACCGAAAGAACAGTTATTTTATCATAAATAAACGGCTTTGTTTGACACTCATTTTTTCACATGTGAACTTTGCTGTAAAGTGGCTAATATTGTAATTAAATAATGGCTTACTTAATCATTAAGTAACATACTTTATTTAAGTAAATCGTATTTATCAGAATTATATTTATTGTACTATTTATGTAACAATAAACTAACTTTTAATAAAATATGTAGGTACATATTTTTATAAAGGAAATTTAATATTCAATCAGAAAATGCCATTTTTTTTGTCTAGCCAAAACATTTCTGTAACATTTGTTTTAAATACTGGTTTTCAAGCTTTCAAGCCACAAAGGGCTGCAGAGCGGAAGCCGAAACAACCAGATTTAAACAATCTTGATTCAAATAGTGAATCAAATTTTGTTTCGTTTCCCTTTTACCTACATAAATTAATACAGGGTGATTCACAAATGGTAACCAAAAATGTAACTTCATATTCTTTGGTGAATTTTAAGGACAGTCTTTCGTATAAAGTTTTTATCTAGAACGCTTCGTTAAAAAGATAAGTACAATACTTACAAAAATATTTTAAATTTTTTTAAATTAATAAATTAATTTAAAAACTAGTAAGTGAAATAATTTGAAATTGGGGACATGTATTGGGCACATTGTCCAAAACCTAAGGCGTAAAATTTAGATGATCTAGTGGCGGAGACACAGGTGGCATATTGGCATATTTTTCTAAGTAAAATAGTACGCCTCTGCTTTACGGTATAGTTTTTCCGAATTCAATTGAAAAACCTATAATTTCAAGGTATGTACCAGGCTCGGTCGCTAAGCAGCAACTCGGCATTGAAATATTTGAAAAACTTGTTCCCATATTTATTTAGCCATACCCATATATAGGTCTCGTCGAACTAAACGTCAGTGGTAGAAATGTATACGACCAGTTGAAGAATGCGAGCGCGGCCAAAGGAAAATGAGCACAGTTTTATTGGGCTTCTGGGCAATAAATCACAGCAGGCGAAGTGGTTCATAAATTGCCCAGTAGTGTAATGCACCAGTGCGGAATTTGGTGTGAATCAGGCAATTTTAATTTATTATAGGCACCTTCTATCAATCATTCATACTACAATTGCGAAAGGGAGAAATAAGAGGGATATTTTGTTTACTAATATTATAACAACATGGCATTTTGGAGACCTTTTGAAACGGAACAAAACGAAATTTACCACCAATATAATAAAATTGTTTGAGGACATAAATAATTAAAATATGTTGTTGGCCAAATGAACATATAATAGAAATTTTCTACACATTATATAGAAATTATTATAATTTTTTACCTTTAGCAGAAATTTTTTTTAGGGACGCCTATGAAACTCATTAAATTTTATTACCAGACGTTTTTCTGCATATTCCACTGACTTCTACAAATTACTACTCTCTTATGTGTTTCGACAAAAAACTTGATTTTCGAGTAAAACTTAAAGAGCTGAAAATACCAGACCTCAACCCACTGGATTTCTTTATATGGGGTAACAGCACCCCATCGGCTGGAATACAGTGAACAAATTAAACACCTGAGCAATTAGAAGAAAGAATAAATAATAATTTTCATCAGGTTTAAGCAACAATAAATTTCGAAGAAATTACATTTTCGTTACTAAAAAATGTCTCGCCTGTGTTCGTGGAAATAGAGGTATTCTTCAGCATTTCCTAAAATAAAATCATTAAAATGATGACTAATGTTATTAATTTCTTTATTCGATTAAATAACTGAACCGATTAGTGGTTGTCATAATGTCATTTAAGTAAAGTGTTTTTAGTTCGTTTTTTAAGTTTTACTCGAAAATCAGGCTTTTTTCGAAAAACATAAGAGAGTGGTAATTTGTAGAAAATTGAAAGACGAATCCGCAAATATCATGATTGTTACCATAAAGTTGTGGCGTACTATTTTATTTAGAAAAATATACAGATACCATGTATATCCGCGACTGCAGCATCTCAATTTTAGGAAAAGCCCTCAGATTTTGTACAATGTTTACATAAATACATGTGCCCAATTTCAAATTATTTCACCTACTATTTTTTAAATTATTTAAAAAAATTAAAAATATTCGCATCTGCAATAAAATATGGGGGTTCCTATTTAAGATTTCAAACTTAGCCCCTTCCCCACTTACAAAGAGCATGGGAGACAGACTAATTTGAGCACTTTCGTATTTCTCCCACAAAATGATTAAATTTTGATTACCTATTGACATTTTTTTCGTAGGGTGCTTACTTCTCGAGATATTTGAAAGTTTCAGGTTAAAAAAAAAATACCCAGTATATGTAGCCTAAATTAGCAATAATTCACTGTAAATGAAATGTATTTTCATTAAAGAAATGTTCTTACGGTATAGTAGCCCTTAAACCACAAATTAAACCCTCAAGTTCTACTTGAGATTATATAACATATGAATATTTATTATTTTGTTTTGCAGATTAAAAAATCTTAAATTATTGCGCCAAATATATGGACTAACGGAGACGACATTTGCACTTACCAGAACCGACAAAGATAACAAAAGTCCAGGATCATGTGGAAAAATTGTATCATTTATGTCGTGCAAAGTCAGAAATCCACAAACGGGAATATCCCTAGGTCCTAACCAAATTGGCGAGTTATGTTTCAAAGGGCCCCTAGTCATGACAGGATATTATGGTAACGAGGAAGCTACGAAAGAAATCTTTACCCCTGATGGATGGCTAAAGAGTGGGGACCTTGGATATTATGACGAACAAAAACGCTTTTATATTGTTGACAGGCTCAAAGAACTGGTTAAATATAAAGGATATCAGGTAAAATGAATATATTGTAAACTTAGCATGTTACAGTCAGATCCTTTTGATTATTATTGGTTAAAGGACCTCCAGACCCTATATCATTTACAATATGTTTTAGTAATAATAATTACTATAATCTCGTTGATACAAGTTATTCTATGTACCTGTATATTTTCGTTTAGGTATCTCCTTCTGAACTCGAAGCAGTTTTGTTACGTCATCCAAAGGTTCGAGACGTAGGTGTAGTTGGATTACCAGACGAAATCTGTGGAGAACTCCCTTTAGCTTTTGTGGTGAAAATTGAAGAAGTCACCGAAGCTGAACTACAAAAATATGTTGCTAGTAAGTTTCATTCACTCTCCCTTCGACAATTGAATACAAAAAAATATTTGAAAATGTATTGTATTTAGTTGAGTGTTTCAATATTTGGGGACTAGGGATTAGTTTATCTCGCAAACTTGTACAGAGTTATTGAGTAGATAACGATTGTTAAACTTCGTAAATGTGTTCTTTAAGGTTGCGTTATAATTAGAATTTTTGCAATTGAGCTAGTTCGAAAACTGTGGAAACTTGGTATGTTAGATTCATCTCATCAAGGCGTTTCTAGTTATCGATATATTGATGTCGTTCCATAAGTTCCCGTGTTCCTTTTTATTTTTTTCTCGCTATTTTATCTATTGTATGGCAAAGTGTATGTATGCCTTCGAAAGTATTTTTCTTGCTCCACAAAGCTATAGGCATCGTTATTCTTAAAAACTTAATTTTAACTAATTTTCAGACAATTGAAAAAGCAGGAGGCACTTGCTCTATTTCACCTTTCGTCATGGTCAAAAAGCTACAGAAGCTGTTCCAGACATTGGCGCCGTATTGGTTTGTCAAGTTCAAAAATAGTAATTTCGAGCTTGATGACAGACCCCGCTTTTGTCTACTTCCGAGTTCGATGAGGAAAGTCTCAGGGCACCTTTGAATGTGGATGGCCGACAAACATGTCGAAAATTGGCTGAGAAGTCTTGCGACAATTTCCCAACGTCTATAATTTACGGGATTCACTCAAAAACTCGGAGCTTGAGTGCCGCACATATTAAACTACAACAACAAAAAACATTGCCGGGCCACAGCTGCTCAAAATCTCGTCCGAACTCGTTCAATACGCAGTCACAAACAACGATTTCTGTACCGAATTGTCACCGGAGATGAGAAATGGTGTTACGTCAACATGAAGCAAAGAAACGAGTAGACGGCACCAGAAGACATCCCAAAGCATAGAGTCAAGCGAGATCTCCGTCACTAGAAGGCTAAGATCTGTGTTTGGTGAGACTGAGAAGATGTAGTGTACTGGGAAATGAAGAACAGGACTCTTGACCAGGAACGTTCAGCTTCACCGCGTGAACGAAGTAATCCAGCAGAAAGAGTCGATCGACGTGGTCATATCATCTTTCTTCATGACAATGCACGTCTTTATACAGCAAATATCGTCAAGAAGGCTCTGAATATACTCAAATGAATCCACCCACCGTACTGCCCGGATTATTACCTTCTCCGCTCCAGGTCAAACCAAATGAGGGTGTACCCTTCGCTCGCCAACGATGAAGACCTCAAAACCTAGTTCATCAAATTCTGCAACACACGACCAGATGAATTTTGGCGAAACTGCATCAACAAATTGGTCGAAAGATGGGAACAGGTCGTCAACGATGATGGAGAATACATTATTGATAAATTTAATTATTGTTGTTTTCAATAAAACTTTGTAATAAAAAAAACGGAAGAACTTATGGAGCAACAGAATATAAAAGTGGCTAAAGTGCCTTAGGCAATAAATTTGGTCCAAAAATAGATTTTGAGAAAAATTCTAGAACCGCTCTTACCATCATTTTATATTTATAAATTTCATTTTTATTGTTTTAAATGTAGTCTTTTATTCGCTTTCAATCAGAACTTTTTCTTCTTAGTTTCAATCGGTTTATTCATTCGAGAAGAAATTTTGTTTCATATTTTTATGAATTTCTATTACGTCAAGTTTAGCTTAGTGTACTCGCTCATAAATCAACATGTCATTTTTCTGATTTGATTCCGTCAAAAACTCGTGGGATACTTTTTTGGATTCAGGTCAAAAAAATCTATGAATGTGGATAAAAAATATTAATATGTTATTTAAATTTATTTCAGGTATTGTGTCGCCGCAAAAGCAACTTCGAGGGGGAGTAATTTTCGTTTCAGAAATTCCCAAGAATCCCAGTGGGAAAATACTGAGACGAGAGCTGAGAGACAGATTAAAGAGCTATAATCACAACAAAAATTTTAATATGTAATTATTGAATTAAATGCGGTGGAAAGTGAATGTATAGCGTCATATTTGACTTAAAAATGAAATCGCTTCAAAATTAAAGTTGATTTGTCTCTCTAATTGTCAAAATTATATGTACACTCTGTGTATTTAACCTAAAATTAATTTTAACTTTTGTGCATAAAATTTAAATTAAATAAATAAGCCTCAGAATTAGAAATTAACTACCTAGATATTATTTCTAATGAAAATTTTCCTGTTAAAGACTTTAATGTAAATATTTTTTAATAAACAATGATTACTTGATGTTGTTTACATATTTATATTAATTTTTATATCTCAAATATATAAATGTCTAAGTAAATCAATGGCTTTTATTTAAATTTGAATAGTCTTTGTTATAAATAACAAAATCTCAATTGGGTGCCTACTTAAAATGGTTTTCAGCTACAAATTTAATTTCATCGACAACCTACATTTTTACCGTTTTACCTTTTCCGCAACCACAAAGCAATTACGTAATAATTACAATTTAATTAGACACGGCTTAAACGTTCACGCACCTAAGTTAACTGTAATATTAAATATGGCTGCTGATTGTATAAGTTAATTACACCATTAATTTTTTACGAAACGGAAACTTAAGCTTAGCGCAAGCAGGTGTAAATGATATGAACCTAGAATTATATACTCGTAGGTGCTTATTACGAACAAATGTTCATTTAAAATATGTGGTGTAAATATTCTGTTACAGTTAAAGGATTACATATTGAAACAAATATTTTTGAACTAAAATTAAGAATTTACCCTTTCAAGGGTTTGCAGTAAACTACTATAACGATCGTTCCTCATGACTAATGTTTAAAATCGACATCTAAGTAATGCATGTCTTTATATTTTTATAATTTCAGTAAATGCAGTGAGTGTCTACGTAGTAATAATAAGATCTTCATCATTATTGCGAATTGAATTGAATATACAGGGTGTCTCACCACGAACTCCATTGATGGATATCTGGGAAACTGAAAAGGATTTTGAAATTGTGGTGTTGTAATACGGGCCACGATGCCTGCCAAGTTAAAATATTTTCAAGGTCATCGTACTTCCGGTTATACCGGAAGTTGCTCCCAACTTTCTTATTAAATGAAATCTCTTGTATATTATTACATTTTTGATACGAGCATTTATTTTTAAGTTGAAAACATATAGCACACTCCATACTTAGGATTGACCGTTTCCTAGATATTTTGATTTTTAAGTAAAAATTGACAGATGCAGACTGTCAGCAAAATTTAGTTTTCTCGGAAACACAGGTTTATTTTTTGTGTGAATTTAGACATTTTGTAGAGGAAGACTTTTGAGTGTAACTGCTAAAGTTTCCCTATACCTAAACCCAGTCGTTTTCAGTTTATTCACGAATAAACATTTCCCTTTTCCTAAAATGGTGTTTTTAATAATAAAAAGTCTAGTAGCCTTTTGAAACATTTGAATTTTTTCTATAAATGAATTTAATGCTTCTTATTTTTACAGCAATTTTTATTTACATAACAATAAGGGGAATGAAAGAAATAAAACATAGAGACAGACACATAAAATAAAATGATAAATTTGAATGTTATCACAAATGTTTGAAGTATATATGTACTTTTGAAATATTTATTCTCAATTCTTCCTCGTTATCATATCACCTTGTGTAGCTGATCCTTAACGTAACCATAAAAGAAAATGTCCACTATGGTCAAATCAGGACTTCTCGGAGGCCAAGTAACTGGACCACCAAGTAATGGTATGTACCTCGGTCATCGAACATTTGTGATATAATTTTGCTTTATCTATGTTGTTTTGTTCGTTGCTCTCATTATTGTTATGTAAATAAAGGTTGTTATGTTAAAAAATATTAAAAATAAGAAATATTAAATTAATCTATAGAAAAAATTCATGTTTCATATGGCTACTTGATTTTTTATTAAAATTATAATTATATTCAATTTCTTGGTTACATATTTATGAAAATCCCATAAATTATACATCGTTATAAAGAGAATTTCCCTTTTCTTCTAATTCAATATGGCGTCCATAACAAAAACAAAGGTAACCTTCCGCCCACCACACATTCTGAGAAATGCGTTAAAACTAACAGCAAAAATCGAATCCTCGCATTATTTCATATTAGTCTACACATTTTTGTCCCAAAATTTTGAAATGCGACTAAAAAAAAGAAAAAACTTCGGAACTGCTCGGAATTTTCTAAATTTAAAAACAAATCCGTGATCGCCATAAAATTCTGCATATTTTTGCTCATTTAACCATTTCTGTACCTCTTAAAATAAGAGAGATACCTATATTTAACAATTAAAAAGTTGTAACTAATTTCGTACCTTATTGTTTATCTCACTAATAAAGTTTACCAAAAATTATACTCCATATTATATTCTAAATTATTCAGGACATATTTTAATTTAGCAATTTTTCTAGGAGACAAAGTACCTATATAGTAGACGACACACATTTATGGCACAAATATTCGCTTATTATTAATGTATATATATAATTAATAAAGTAGAAGACTTTATTATTAGTGCATTCTACCCACTATTAAAAAACCTGCTCAACATTTATAAACACCCTGTGTAATAAATAGCTACAGACAATACATTTATTCAAACCTTTAATTAGATTAGTGAACATGCATTTCATAATTACGAAGTAATGTAAAAGATAATAATACCTAGTAAAACATGACTAAGTTTGTTTAGATTTTTAGAGAAAAAATTGTTAATTTTTCTGAAATATGTGTAGGTATACATATAAAACTTATTCGTCATAATTTAATTGATTGCTGTTTATAGCAGTTTTAATAATAAACGAGGTAAGAATTTAGATAGTAATTTTGAAAGAAAATTATAAAAATTCACTAGTTACTAATAATATACATAATTAAATTTCTATGTTAACTGTAAATTTACAAAATCCATTGTAGCACTATTAAATCTGTTCAGTTTAAAATTTACAAAAATTATGGTTTTTCTTGAAATTCATTAAAATATATTTTTATTACTGCTACTGCAAAATTATTGATATGAATCTTTTGTGGAAAATACCGATAAATTTTATATTAATTTTAAATAAACGTTTACTAATGTTTCAGTTTTGGACGTTTTGGGTATTGTCCATCATGAATACAATATTATTCACGTTTATGATTTTCTTGTACTTTGCAATTGTATCCACAGGTAAGACATTTATTTAATAAACTTACTGAAGAACATTATATTCTATAAAAGTGAGTGTATGAAAATTCCTCTTTATTATATAAAATAAAAATTAAATTGGAAATTTTAAAACGACAATTTCAATAATTTCAATGTTGACGGTGTCACAATAAACCGTTTTCGTGAAAATAATTATAATACCCTGAAGTTGCTACCCCTTTTTTCATTCCTATGAACTTGTGAAGCCGTTCGTTCGGCGTATGCGATCATATTGACTATAATTTTAGTCGAATATATTTGGTCGTCTATAACCGCATTTTTCGAAAGTTGCGTATTTTTATTGTATGTATATACAAAAACCTGTTGTTCCATCGATTTCAAATCACATTAATCGTAAATTATCGAAATGGATGCGATCCCAAGAGGTCCTGCACTATTAGAACTAGGAGTGTCAAATACATATATCAAAAGAGAAAGCCTCCGGATTTTTCCGGATTCGGGTTCTGAGTAATTTTTTGTGTCACCTTGTACGGCAGGTTTACTAAAGAGGCCTTAGTTATACAATAGCTAAGCGTTTTAGTGTCTCTTCGCGTTCCAAACCAGCGCTTCTAATTCAAATTGTTTTATGAACATGCACCATTTTCGTGTACCATTTATCATATTTTTATCTATGATTTTCAATTTATAATTTACTTATTATTTTCGACAGGATCAGGCACCAGTAAAATAAATTTTCGATTTTTGAAGGGAAAATTCCACGAGAATTTAGAAACGCAAATTATCATTTTAGATCAACATTTTTCTAAAACAGTGCCAGATTTCAAGATAGATGAAACTGAGAAAAGCTTTTTACCCGAAGCTATGGCGATGGTTTCATCCTCTGATGGTTATATGACAGACGATCAGAATTCGAATAACTCATTTATAATAAGCTA